TTACTCTCTGGAAAACTAGGGAGGGTCCCTTCTGAGACGCTTCCCACGCCCCTTTTCCTTCTGTGGGCTGAGACACCTTTTCCACATCGGTTGTCCAGTCTGCGGCTCTTCCTCCTGTCCCCCAAGGTTGTTCCCACAGACCATGGCATCAAAACTGTGATCAGTCTGGAACTGACTCTTGCATCCTCCTTTTCAGTAGCATACCCCTGAGCAGTGGCCACATTACTCCCCTGTGGTTCTCTCTCTCTTCCTTGTAGGCAATTAGAGGAAATGCAATTGATCGTCACCTTTTGGGGCTGAAACTTCAAGCTATCGAGGATCTGGTGAGCATCCCTGAACTCTTCATGGATACTGCGTACGCGGTGGCCATGCATTTCAATCTGTCCACCAGCCAGGTAAGCCGGGATTTTGGCCTTGCAATGGATCTCTGGGGGCTATTTCTTTCTGCGTTTATTTATTAGGGGGTTATGCACTGCCTCAATCCATCTTTGTCTTATTTTTCCAACTTTTCTTAGGGTGGATTTTCAAAATAGTTTACAATCTCTTTCAGAGTTGTGATATTAACAGTTTTACTGATGGGACGCTGCTGTGTGTACGTAGGTCGACTCGATTTCTGTCATCAAGTCCAAAATACGGATTATTTCATTGTAGTACAGAATAATAGTCATCATTAATATAATAGAACGAACCTCCAACATCCAAGTTTTAAAAATGCATGCAAACTACATATATTATTTTTATTGTTAGTTGTTCATTAGCCAGGTCTGTACAGATGGAAATGGCTGTCACACTAAATTTAGCCACGTGGTTGGAAATGTCCAGTTTTAGCTTTCATTGCAGAAAGAAACGTACAAAATTCTGTCTCCCTGCCAGGAGGATTCCTTTAAAAAAGCAAATTAGATGTTTCGCAGGCCTCTCTGTAATACAGGCACAGTAAAAGGGTTTCTTGGTTTCTCTGGGCAGAAAGAGTGAGGAAAAAGGTATTGTGATAAGAATTGCAGGGTGCTCTGAAATTGACTAGAAAGGATTGTGAAATTGACTACCCTGAGTCCCCCATTTGGCAGTTGAAAAATGGATTTAAGAAATCGGCTGTGAGAAATTGCTTATAGGAATGGGAGAGGAGATTTAAACAGTCCACAGCTAGAAGGTGAGCCTGTTCAGAGTTTATTTCATCGGTGGCAGCCTAATTGGAAAGGAACATGTAAAGAAGCATTTCAAATCCTTCAAAGAGCAGCTGTCCTAATTAACTTCCGATCAATCCTATTTGCAGTGAGTTAATGACGGTTCAGTCCAGATCCTGTTTACTGATCTATTTATTTACATGTCCCATTTATAAAAACAGTCTTCATCAACGATAAAAAGGGATGATCAAAACGTAACATCATCCCAAAGTTTTACAATTTTAAATTTTAAAACATACGAACCCCACGGAGAGAGCAGAATATCGATCGAAGTGGAGCCATCTAAGAAGGTCTCAAGTTGGGGGAGATGGCGGCATACAAATTTAATAAATAAATCAGTCAGTCCTATGGCTTCTTCCTCCTCTTCATAACAGCGCTTGAAGATATACTAACTTAGGATACTAACTTAGGAACATGCTAAAACATGTTATATAAATGCAGATGTGCTGCTGATGAAATCATTCAAACGTAGCCAAGAGATAGCATCGTCACACCGGTTTCTAGTGGGTGAATCTGTATAGGCCTCTGGGTGTTGATTGCATTGTTATTTGTATTGATGGCAAGCTATTTGGGGGTTGGGTTGCAGAAACCCTGGCATTGCATTTTGCTCAGCTTAACTGTGTGGGCAAATGCCTGCCGTCTTCACTTCTCTTTCATTATAACTCCTGGGTCTTCCCCAAAGGTTTCAAGGAGATCACAAAGGCATTTGTGGAACCCTTAGGTGTTACTTCTCCCTTGCCTTCCCCCTCTTCTACTTCTTTTCCAAAAAAAAAGAAAGAAAAGTGGAATATAAATTCAGTAACTCAAGAGAAACCAATCTACAGAGAACAGAAGGGTAGAAGAGGTGTAGTTATTGGCACGGTGGACGAGAAGCTGGTTTGAGTGGCTGGGAGAAAAGCCAGAATGGGGGGGAGGAACACCCATTTTAAATCCATCCATGTTCTCTCCCACCCGCAGGTCCCCGCCAAGACAGACTGCGTGATGTGTTTCGGCCCAGTCGTGCCAGACGGTTATGGCATTTGCTACAACCCCATGGAGGAGCACATCAACTTTGCCATCTCTGCCTTCAACAGCTGTAGCGAAACCAACACTGCCCGAATGGCCCATTATTTGGAACAGGCACTGCTGGACATGCGTCTGCTGCTCCAGTCCAACCCCAAGTCCAAACTTTAAGAGGGGAGGGAGAGGAGCCAGCTACCTGTCAAATGCATGGTCACCTGGTGTGGGTTTCAACCACACCCTGGACTTCCCCCAGAGGGACGGAAGACTTTCTTTGTGGCGTTGAGTGTCGGGGATGGAAATGAACTCCACCGCTCACCAGGGGCGCCTCGTCCATTCCCCTACCTGCACACCTTTCCTCCGTTTGTCTGTGCCTTAGAGAAGTTTTATAGGGGGGATGGGGAGGAAGGCTTCTGAATCAGAGGGAATCTGGACCTTCCTCGGCTTGATGCTAGGCTGAACAAGAGGCTCTTAGCTCAAAGTCTCCAGAGAGTTTTGGCCTGTGATTCGTACAATGTTTGCTGTCTATCTGAATTTACAAGTCAGTTTCACAGCATCCATCAGTATGATGGGTTTACTGCTAGAGCTGTTTTATTGTTTGATGATGAAGATTGCTTCTCCTTTCCCTTCCCTTCCCTTCCCTTCTTTCGACCCTACCCTACATGTTTGGCCCATTCCACCAACAAGTGTTTGGATATTTTCTGTTTTTGTTGTTGGCTGATGTCAGTCTTGGCATTCTGAAGGCTTAAGACAGTATGTAGACATTCAGCCAGTCCACACGTCTTGCAGAGTTGCCGAAAGCATCTGATCATCTTCTTCGCAATTGCATGGTGAGTGTCTGTCAAGGAGTGTTGAATGCTATTCTTCCATTCTTCGTTCTTCCCCAGTTACCACAGCTCTGGTTCCAGAGTGAAGGCCAAATTAAAGGTGCAGGTATGGTCTCTTCTGATGGAAGGAACTTCCTCTTCCCATCCCATCATAACTGCTTTGCAAAGATCAGGCATTTCTGAGAATCTCGTTTTGTCTTTGCTCTATTTAGAGATGTCCATGCTGCTCAGCCATAGATTAGCTTCGAGACTGTGATGGATGTTTGCGGAGATAACATTTCATCTTCCAATCCGGAGTCCAGTAGATGTGTTGGATTGCCGTGATCCTCATTTGCAGCCAAATAGCTATGGATGAGAGAGGCTGTTGTCCAGTACATCTGAAAGCCATTGAGTTAAGGGCAGGAGAAATACAGGTAATCCTCACTTAACAACCACAATAGGGACAGGAAAATTGGTCATTAAGCAAGTCACCACATGACCAGACCCGATTTTACAAGTCGTTAAGCGAATCACAATGGTCGTTAAGCGAATCACAATGGTCGTTAAGCAAATCACATGGCCATTAAGTGAATTCAGCTTACCTAATGGACTTTTTTGCCAGAATTCGCTTAACCACCACGCGATTTGCTTAACGACCGGTGATTTGCTTAAGCATCGCAAAAACAGCCACAAATTGTGATCACGTGACCATGGGGGGGTGCGACAGTTTGTGACGGTCATAAGTGCAAGTACAAGTCATAAAGCACTTTTTTCAAGGCCATCGTAACTTTGAACCATTGTTAAGCAAGGACTACCTGTAACTTGCTCAGTAATACAACAACACAGGATCCAAACTGAATAAGTAAAGATTATTTTTAATATATTGGGTTTTTTAAAAAGGGAATGAGATTTTGAAGTAGAAAAATGACCATCTGCTGCTTTTGCTCAATCTTGTCTACTCTTGATATCTTGCATGCAAATTCTTTGATTATGGTATGCATTAGATATTGAAATGTGTTGGCTTAGAAGTTGTTGAACTTTCAAGGACAGGTTACTGAAGATCTCTTGCGTTGCATCTGAGTTTTCAAAACATACATTTCCCCTAGCACCGAGTTTCTGTAAAGGAAGACTTGACATCTAGTTGGTGCAGATCTTCACTCCATCCTATTCTGGATCATAAAGAGCCTGAACTTTGTCCCAGTCTTGCAAATCACCCTCTCCTTTAAATCTCCCTTCTCCCTTCACTTTTGGCATCGCATGGAGCAGTTTCCTCGCATGAAATGCAGAGTCATGGAAGCGGGGGAACCACAGTAGTAACCTTTGAGAAACGGGGATGTGTCTGTTGCCCCATTGATGCTCCAGCAATGTTCAAGAGGCTGTTGGAATCTCTTGGTGGGCCTGAAGATGGTCCTTCCTCCAAGCTTTGCTTCTTTACTGTGCTTGGACAGCAGAGGGCCTTTGACTCAACTTTTGATCGTCTCCATCCACCAAAGTTGATCTGTTCCTGGACAAACAAATCCACGGGAAAGATGCTTATATTTTTTGGTTGCTTTGCTCACAATCCTTGTTGTCACACCCAGTGTGCAATTCTGGGCTCATACAAGTCCCAGTTAAGCCACCCGCCTTGCTGGGTTATCAGGACCCATGGCCAATTCTTTGATCTGCACAAAATTGGTCCAGAATGTTGTCTTGCTGGAGTTTATGCTGAGGAGCATCTGAACTGAAAATGCCAACATCAGAACTAGGACCTTCTGGGCCAATATATGTTCTTTCATTGATTGATGAGCCATCTTTAAAAAGGAAAAAAAAAGCTTTGCTAGTTTAGCTCCAAAGTTGTACTAGTTTTTTAGCTTCCTTTGCTGGATTGTCAGTGCTGGCTAGAATTCTGGATAGTCAATCCAGGATGTCTATTTTAGTCATCCTCATTAATCTCCAGGAAGCAGATTTCAGCTCTCTGCACATTATTGTACACGGCCCTTTCTCTGTCCACACAACCTCCTTAATTACATCCAAGTTTTTAGCTGCTACAGTTTGCACAACCTAAGGTGAGTGAGTATTAACCTTGATCAGTCTGTCCACATTTGGTGTGGTTCGTTTAGTGGATTGTGTGAACCCAGAAAGTGGGTTACTTGAGAAAGCAGGTTAAGCCTGTGGCATGAATACAACCATTCGTCGATACAGCAAAAAATGGTGAATTTCAGGACCTAGATAAGATGTAGGGCAAACACTGTTATGTTATGGCAATTCTAGAAATTAAGTGTACATTTCTCTGTCCTTTCTTGGAACTGTTTGAGAATATTGGAAGAATAAGAAGAGGTGAATTAAGTTTTGTTTTCTCTGTTCCTATTTCACTTTAAAAATTATAACTGGCCCAGCTAATCCTAATTGAAAAGATTTCTTGCTGCGTGTCACTTGTTCTGGTGAATGTTTCCCATCAATGTTCCCCTTCTATATTCAGAATTTGGAAGTCTTTAAGTGTTTGGAATCCAAATGTGGAGGATTGCAAATCCCATCATGTGCAGCCAACGTGGAATTATGGGAGTGGTCGTCTAGGGCCCCACGACAATCTGCTGACTATCCAAACTCAAAAACTCAAGGAAAAATAGGAATATTAAAGTGAAATGCAGATTTAGAAACGTGCCAGTATTGTCAACTTTGCGTGCTTGTGAACATGTTAGCTAGAGCTATTGAGAGCCAAGATGCATTGTGAATAGGACAGAAAGAAAAAAAAATGGGAATAATCCATTTATCAGATTTAGATGCTTGGGGGTTTTTGTTACTGTCTTGTTTCTACCCTTAGCTTCCAAATTGTAGTAAATATGGTTAGGTTAATGAGAAATTTATGTCTAGCAGCTTTTTCTAAGCTATCCTTTTGGGCAGTTGATTTAAAGCAGAGATGGTCAGCCCCTGTTTCTGCCCCCCCAATCCATCTGGTAACTGATTTTTATGGCTGAAATGCAGCCTTCTAACTGTGCCCTCAAAGTTAGAAACCAAGAGTGGATCTCCTAGCTAGGAAACATTTCTTTGCTCCATTTAAAGCAACCATTGGATAAGTGGGTACCCAATACATTCGCTTTAGTTAATTTTCCAGATTTGCAGTGTGAGTCACTCTTCTCTGCAGGATAGGCTGGCGGAAGCCTAGAAGAACACTTCCAAAAAGGAGTTTATAGTTTGAGGATTATAACTTTCTCCTAGAGCCCCTTCCCCAAATCTGCCCACGTTGTGTGACCATAAATCACGAGAGCCACAACTGTGGCATGGCTGAAAGCTGGCTTTTTTTGGGGGGGGGGCAATACTGTTTATGCCACCTTTTGAAGAATGAAATGCTTTACGCTTCGAGGATGGGAAGAAACCAGGATATCGCAAGCAAGTTTTTTCCCCCTGTTGTCTAGCATTATCTTTGTGGCTAACGTGAATTGCAGCTGGACATTTCCCGGATGGGAGAATTCATAGAGCGCCATGTTAGGTTCGGATGACAACTCTCTGCAAGAAGGATGAGGAAACTTCTCCCAGTATCTTGCATTTGCCATGATGCCCATGAGGTCTAGCGACTTGATTAAGCACATTAACAGAAACCCTCCAGTCATAGAAGGGCCTTATATGGCCTGCTGCCAGAGATGACGGGAAGTGTGGAATGGTTTACAAGTTAGCCCTGTGAGTAGTGTTTCGTAGGTCAGCTTTATACTTTTATTTTTTTTAACACCTGTGCTGACCAGGTAGGTTCAAATGTGGTGGGTAACCTTAAACCTTTAGAGCAGAGTTTCT